CATTGGAAGCCCGACAGGGACGGGCAACACTCAGAACGGCACGCGCGGAAAGAACGAGACCAATCGTCGTATTCGAGCAGGTGGGGGAAAACGGAACTAGGGTACATAACTGGGGAGCGTCGACTTATAAGTCGGACGCGACAACATGATAATATCACAGAAGAATAAATGAAATAGAGTCTTGACAGAAATGTAGCTTATATTCGAAGTCGAGTGAAGTCGTGACAGAAATGGAAGTGTCGAGTCCTTATTAGGAAGCGCTGTGGCTGAAAGTTTGGGACGCGCGCCGGAGTAATCCGCGGGATTACACCCTTCCCCATTGTCAAGAACTTGCGACGGGCGAAGGAGATTGCGAAGCTTCAGGATGGCTCTTGAGCCAGTTGTCGAGCGCCGTAGATTGTTCGAGTTCGCGTCTTGGTAACCAGATGTCGTCTGCTTCATCATAACCGGCCCATCGAACAAGGTACTGCCACCCTCGACCACGCCGGCGTTGATCAATGATTCGTTCGACCGTCCATTCTTCTTCTCCATTGGGCGTGACGATAGGTCCGGGCCTGGGTAGTTCACGACCAGGGAAGAGCTGTGGATCGTTCGCGTGGTAGGGGACGAGGTGTTTGGCGTGAAATTCCGGGAATATGTTGGGGGTGTTCGGGAGGTCTAAGGTATAGACAGACCGCTCGGGAAAAGCGTCAGTAACTCGATAAGGACCGTCAAAGCGTGGCATAAACTTAGCGACACGCTTTTCTCCCTTGGACTTGTATTCACGCCGCCTGTTTCTCGTGGAGAGCATAACCAGATCGCCGATCTTGAAACGAGTCTCCTTGCCCCGAGATTTGTTGGCGTGGAAGGCCTGGTCGACTTTGGACGCGAGGAGTTCGTCGCGAGCGTCGGCAACGCAAGCTTCGATATTTGCGAGGAGTTCTGCGGCCTTAAGATCGACGGAAGACGAGGATATTTGAGTCTGTAGGGGCGGAATGACTCGGGGACTACGCCCAAAGCGTAGTTGAAAGGGGGAATAACCTGTGGATGTGTTAATTGTATTCATGATGGCGAAGCGCACCTGAGGGAGGGCCTTGACCCATCCCTTTTGGTTCCGGTCGACGTGGTAACGGAGGAGTTGGTTGACCGTCTTGTTGGTCCTTTCGCTAGAGCCGTCGGTCTCGGGGTGGAAAGCTGTAGACATCTTCAGTTTTACTCCTGCAAGTTTAGTCAGGGATTGCCAGAATTTAGATAAAAACAGGTGATCGCGGTCAGAGACGATGTCGATAGGCAAACCGTTCTCGCAATACCATTTGTCGAAGAACAGATTTGCAAACTGCTCCGCTGTCTGCGTGGAATGAGTAGGTAGGACCTGTATATCAGAACCTAAATGGTCAGTGATGGTGACAATTGTGTCGTAGCCGCTATCCACGGGAAGCGGCCCTATAAAGTCGATGGCGATGGAGTCGCAACGACCATCGGGGATTGGAAGCGGGTGTAGGGGGCCTTTGGGCCTCTGCGTCATATCCTTATTCCGTTGGCAGGTGGGACAGGATGGTAGGTACGACTCTTCTAGATCTCGCCTCATGTTGGGCCAGTAGTAGGAATGGCGGAGTGAGGCGTAAGTTTTGTCGAACCCAAAATGTCCCAGATTGTCGTGGGCTAGACGATACAGCGTTTCGCGAAGCTTGTGTACGCGGGGTACTACTAGACGATCAGCGAGGTATAATAAACCGTCACGCACCTCGAGACTAGGGGTGGACCCAATAGTTTCGAGTAGTTTTTGACAGAAACGATCTGTCTTGTAGCCGGCGCGTAGCTCGTCAAGGAATTTATGATCAGTCGCAATGCTCATCGCAGCCGCAACAGTGTGCGGATGGGGAGCAGTTCTAGAGAGAGCGGTGGAAGTACTCATCGGCGTTTCTTGGACGTTGGCAACAGCGACGACCTCTTCGTCGAACGTCCCAGGGGCGGGGGTTCGTGAAAGAGCGTCCGCTACAGTATTGTCCTCGCCTTTGATGTACTTGATTTCGAAGTCGTACTGTGAAAGGAATTCTTGCCATCGAAGCTGTCTGCGTGATAAGTGTTTCTGTGTATGGAAGTTTTCGAGCGTACGGTGGTCTGTATAGACAGTGAATGGAACACCGAGGAGGTCGACTCTCCACTTTTCAAGAGCACGGACGATGGCCAAGAGTTCTTGCTCATGGACCGGATAGTTTTGTTGTGCGCTATTCATCTGCAACGAGTCGAAGGCTACTGGCCGCGCGGTCTCCCAAGACTCGCCGTACGATAGCATGCCACCGGTCCTATATTGACTGGCGTCAGTAGTAACGAATATTTTATTATTACCCATGTTATTATGGTCGATCGTGGTCAGGCATTCACGGCTGACCACTAGTCGTTTGATACCTTCGAAGGCGGCGTGGTGGTCACTTGTCCAGCCGGGCCATTCGCGTTCTGCATCCTTGGTGGTCAATGGGGTAAGGACGACGGTGTGATCAGCGAGCTTCGGGAGGAAGGTCGAGATATACCGGACGAGGCCCAAGAAAGACCGGACATCTGAGGCCGACTTCGGTACCGGCCAGTCGAGTATCTTGTCTACCTTAGAAGGGTCAGCTTCTATACCTCGCGTGGACACGACGTGACCGAGGAACCGGATCTCTGTACAGAATAGTTGCGTCTTCTTGGGGGAACAGAAGAGGGAAGAGGAGCGGAGAGCATCGAGGATGAGGCGGACGTTGTGTTGGTGTTCCTCGAGCGTGTTCGACCAGATAACTATATCATCTAAGTAGACGTGGCAGATTTTACCAATGTATTTTCGCAGCGCAGAGAACATGCGGCGTTGGTGCGTCGCAGGCGCATTCCTTCCCCCTTGGGGCATGACCAGCCACTCGTAGAGACCAAAAGGCGTCCAGACAGCAGTGTAGGGCACGTCGTCCGGGTGGACTCTGGTCTGGAAGAAGGAATTAGTCATATCTATCTTTGAGAAAAACCGGCCTTTAGCACAGTCGGATAGTATTTCGTCCACTCGCGGAAGCGGGTGGCTGTCCGGGACCGTGTTTGCATTGAGCTCGCGGTAGTCGTTCACCCAGCGGGGCAAAGCTGTGGGGTCAGCCTTCGGGATTAAAAATGAAGGGGAACAATACGGGCTGGAGCTTTCGCGCATGCGACCTGCTTGTAGGTGTTGTTCGAGTAGGGTATGCCAGGCGTCCTTGTATTTTTTTGGGCAAGAGTAAAGCCGTCCAGAAATAACCTTGTTGGGGTCTTTAAGCTTGATTCGATGGTAGACATCGTTCGGTAGCCGTGTCACATGGGGGATGTCGTCTGGGAATAGGTCTGCGTATTCGGCTTTGTATTGGGCATTGAGCTTGTCGAGCTCATCCTGTAAAGTCAGCGTTTGTATGCGGTCACGTACGGCAGCCACGTAATCAAAGGGTTTTGTTATGAACGCGACAGAATCGATGTTCGCGCGTATGGGTTTGAGACGTTGCTTTAATTCCGCAATTGTTTCACGGCGGTGAAGACAGATCATGTCGCGTTCATGTAGTTCGTCTGACCTAAGGGGGGGTTGCGGTATCTCGCGGGGGATCAGCGGAGGGGGGTTCAAGAGGTCATGACCACTGCGTTTATCTATACATTTACGATCCTCGAGATCGAGAGAGAGGTGATTCCAAGACATGAAGGTGAGGCCACAGAGAAGGGGGACACAGAGACGAGGTGTTACAAGAGCTCGAACAGGGCGAGAGCGCCAAGAATGATCAGGAAGGGAAACGGAAACGCGAACCCATTGGGTTAAACTAACTGCAACTTTATCAACTCCTTCAGAGTCCAGGGCGAGCGAGATTGCCTTCGGTTTGGGCAGTGCAAAATGCCGTAGACCTAGTCTCTGTGCGAGCTCGTCAGAGATCAAGGTCATTCCACAGCCGGAATCAAGCATAGCGGAAATAGGGAGGGGTTCGTCTATAGACGGCCCGTCGATAATGCAGGGGAGGTTAAGGTGGGGTAAGGACAAATGAACACACTCATCAGTATCGTCGCCTGGGTCCAGGACGGCCGAGGGCATGATCACGCCTATCACGTCCGGTTCGTCCACTTCAGCGTCGTCGACAACGGCGTTGACGGCGTTGACGGTCGTTGTCCTGGGGTTCCGGTTACTGATGGTGTCGGCCACCGTGAGTTCCTTGTAACCAGCGGCGGCGGGGAAACCGTTCGGGCAGTCTTTGGACTGATGGTTGACATTGAAACGACGACACTTGAAGCATCCTCGATGTTTCGCGAGGAGGATCTTCTCGTTTTCCGTCAGTTTCGGCAAGGCGGGAGTCTTCTTCATAGGAGCGTATGGAGCGGTCGTCGAGGAAGTCGCCGTGGTGGAGATAGAGGTGAAGGTACGCTGAGGGTGACGCTTGTTGAGGACACGGGCGATCCTGACTTCTTCTTCGATACGTTCTTCGTCGAGGTGTTGAACCGCCTCGAGCCAATCCTTGAAGAGGACTTCCTGTTGCATCTTCTCGCGGGTGCAGCGTGAGATGAGTTCGGGGTGCATGTGAGCATCGAGGTGCTTGCGGACGTCGGCTTCGTTTAGGTGGGAACTAGTGCCGCGGAGTAGACAGTTTTGTGACTGAAAAGATGTCTGCCAGTCCCAAAAGGGTGAGTCGTTCTGACGCGAAGCTAGAAGTTCACGGCGGAGGACATCCTCCCAGTCAGAACGAAGGTAGCGGGTACGTAACTCTGCGATATATGCGTCCAAGGTAAGGGCGTTAACGCGAGCCTTGTTGACGCGGTACCAATCGCGAAGGCGTGGGTCCTGCATGCCGTACGCAATCTTTTGCACGTAGTCGGTCGGTTCGAGACCCGTCTTGTTCTCGCAGTATGCTTCACAAGCTTCGGCCCAATCGCGGATGGTGGCCGGGGTGAGCTCACCAGGCGTCAAGATGGGTGGAGTCTTGATGGAAGCATGTTCAACCGTTGCGTTCGCACGGCTGCGTCTCGACATAGTTGTACGGGAGGAGGATACGGCGTAGTCTGAGTCTGAGTCTGAGGAGAGGATAGGAGAGGGAGGAAGAGGTGGCAATGGTGGAGAAGGAGGGGGAGTACTCAGCGGTGATGAAGAGGGTGATATGTTGTTGTCCGAGGTGTGGACGTCCCGAGAAGCCAGTCGCTGTTTCCTTGCACGTGTCGAAGGAGCCAGTTTGACTAGGCGGTAAACGGTAGGTGGAGATCGGAGCGGTAGACAGTAACAGAAACGGAACAGTAAACGGCAGTTTCAAGGAAGCTCTGACGAGCGTCCTGAGAAGACAGAGAGGAGACGGTAGAGGTCGGCGTTCAAAAAAAAGTGGAAGCCCGACAGGGACGGGCAACACTCAGAACGGCACGCGCGGAAAGAACGAGACCAATCGTCGTATTCGAGCAGGTGGGGGAAAACGGAACTAGGGTACATAACTGGGGAGCGTCGACTTATAAGTCGGACGCGACAACATGATAATATCACAGAAGAATAAATGAAATAGAGTCTTGACAGAAATGTAGCTTATATTCGAAGTCGAGTGAAGTCGTGACAGAAATGGAAGTGTCGAGTCCTTATTAGGAAGCGCTGTGGCTGAAAGTTTGGGACGCGCGCCGGAGTAATCCGCGGGATTACACCCATCCTGGATTGGGACTGGACACAATAGTGCATGTCGCCGGCGCGATCCTGTTCAAGATGGTTGTGCTACGGATGTATCTCGGTCTCTCCCCTTATCACGATAGTCAGCTTCTTGAGCTTGTCCGGCACGGACGAGTAGTGCGCGTGCCCACCATCTATGAGCAAGCTCTTGCAGCATGCCAGGGTGCAGAGACCACCGTGCGGCTGGGCTGGCGGTCCCTGATGGTTGACTGGCGACAGCAGGTCCAGCTTGTCAACGCGCCGCAGGACCACCTTGTGATTACACCCACGTCTTCGGGCTGAAAACCGGTCAGACTTAGACGCGAGAGGAGAATTCTGGCGTATATTCGACGAAGTACAGCTAAATAAATGCAGTAACTGAGACAGTATGACGTAGACCTAAAGCGGAAGTAATCGACATAATG